CTCTCTCTCTCTCTCTCTCTCTCTCTCTCTCTCTCTCTCTCTCTCTCGTCATGAGGTAAATGCTTGCCGTGTACCCTCACCATGTCTGTCAAAAAGGTGTTAAATTAAAAGCAGACATTTTCCAGATAAAAACATGGGAAAGCTTTAAAGATCACCTCTTGGAAAAATGTAGCCTGGCTACCTACTGTATAGATGAGAAAGTAAACTGGATCCCTGGCCTTCCCATGACCCCATAGCTGGATGGTACAGAAACCAAAAGCGAATCTGGTTTTTCTGTTTTCAACTCCAAATCGTATTTGGTGGGGTTTTTCCCCCCAAATGATTTCACACCTCTTCTCCTCTTCAAAAGCCTTACTATTGAGAGGGCACAGCTAAGGTGGAAACAGAGTACCCCTCTGAACTTTATCCTTGGATCTCAAGCTCTGGAAGAACTTAATGAGATATTGCACCAAACCCTTTCATCTGGGAACGGCACACACTAAGCAGTCATCAAATGGTAACTGCTATCATTATCTTTTACCACAAAGTAGGTAGTGAACTGGGGGGGGAAGGGGTGCACATATTAGCAGTGGGTGGAGGACCCATTTGACAAGTCTTCTAAACTTATACTTAATTACCCTTATTTGCCCTTATTTGGGGCTGAAACTTTACACTGATTTATGACCCACCTACAATGACCTTGATTTTTTCCCCTCCTGTACTTTTATGAACTGCTATATTGCAGTATTTTCAAGTAATAATCGGTCAGGTCCTCTTAGCCCTGGAGATACAAACATCTTCCACTGACTCATAAGGTATCTTAAAATGTGACCCAAATACAGCTCGAGAGAGACCATAAATTTTAAACGACCAGCGCAGGTTAAGTCCAGCAAGCGATTACAGGGAATGGTAACAAGTGCAACGTGCTGCCATGCGGAAAGCCATTTTCTCAAAACAACCGGTGCGGCCGAGGGAGAGGAAGGAGGGAGAGGGTCAATGGAGGTGCGCGTTTTTTCCAGAGGGTCCTTTGCAGCTCCGCATCAGCGACCTCGAAATGAATGAAACGCTCAGTCACACAGACAGCCCGGGCCCCGGGGGTGCAGGGACGCCAGAGTCCCGGGGAGAACTCAGCGGATTTCTCCCACCACCCCAGTCAATTCAAGGCCGCGGTCTCCGGGAGGGATGCTCCACGACAGGTGCGGGACCGCCCGCCGGCCCACACTCACCGCCGCCCGCTCCGCCGCTCTCCACTCGGCGCCGCGCCTCCGCCGCCCAGGCCGGGCCGCGCTCCCCTTCCGCTTCCGGGAGCCGAGGCGCCGGGACCGGCCGAGTGGGTGTCGGCATGCCCGCGCGCCCGCGCGGAGGCACGGCCGCCGTCGCTGTCTCCGCTTCGCGCCCCGGAGCTGCGATGGGAGCCGCCGAGGGCCTAAAGACCTGAAAACGCTCGCAGCCCAGTGCTGCGCCCGGCCTACCTCCGTCTAACCTACCTGTGCCTCCCCGCCCTGCAGCCCGGCCCTACCCAGGCGGCCGCACACACGTGTCCCTACACCCTCCCTACATAGGACCAGCCTTAGCCTTAAGCAGTGCTCGATTCCTCCTTCTGTCGGGAAACAGGCCTCTTTCAGTGATGAGCAATGGATTTTCCATGTTACCTTGCTTCAAAATTTAGTCTGCAACATTGACATCCTCTGGGATCTTGGAGAGAATGCAGTCTCAGGCCTGCTCATTCCATACCTGAATTTTGATAGGATCTGGAAGTGACACTTATCAGTGCACCCCAAAGCAGCAGTGTTCTTTCTTAGGGCCTTCAGACCCTCTTTTGGGATACCCCAGCCATCCGAGGTTTTTCCAATTCTTGTTAACAATCTAAATCCACATTCAAATTATATATATTTCAGAAAATCTCCATAAGTTGCCAGCATTCCAATCAGTGAAACCTAGGAAAAGAATTAATGGACTCAACGATTCAAATAACCCATCTCTCATTCTAAGCTGTTACCCTCACAAACACTTGAGATACAGTAACTAAAATTTTTTGCACCTCACTCCTAAAAAGTGCTGTGGGAAGCTTACACTGTTCACAGAGTATGGAATAGCAGGTTATGTCTACATATCCCAGAAGGAGATAATGTGTGGATGAGAGAGAAATTCCCTGCTGTAGGAAGTCTGTACTCCTTGTTAAATGATAATGAAAGAAAGCCTTCCAGAACAAATTGTTCCTGGTGGTACCTGTTACTCAGATCCTGGGATGACAGCTGTACTAACTCTAAAGTTAATTTCAACTAGCTTGCTCCATCTCCTGTCAAATCCCCTTAATTCCATTCCCCTTAAAAAAATCGTCTACCTCCCCTCTGATAGGGGCAGGATAGGAAGACAGAGAAAACATCTCACTCTGAGACATCTCACCCTGAGATCTAGCTTTCCTCTTGGCTGTGTCAAGAAACTTCAACACAACCACTTCAAGCCAAGGTTGCCTCCGGAGATAATGCCCATTTTTCCTTATACATCTCAAACAGCAATATCAAAGTCTCTATGACGGCTATTTAGGGCCAGGATGACCGTGGCCTTGACTTTAACCCTATGAGCATCACTCTCTCAACTCTAAATCTAAACAATAAACCTCATAAAACCACCTTACAATCTTATTTACAAAAGGGGCATTCTTTAAGATAAAAGAAATAAGTGAATCATGACCCTTTATTTTTAAACTGTTCTTAGCTTTTAAATTTTGCTTAATCTTTAAGCTTTGTAAATTACATCTTTTGAATAAGTTTAGAAAGCTGCAGAATTTTATGTGTATACACATATATGTACATATACACATATATGTGTATATACATGTATATATCACATACATGTATATGTATATATGTATATACTCATATATGTGATATATACCATAGACTCCTAGCATAACTTCAACTTCAACTCTCTCTCTCTCTCTCTCTCTCTCTCTCTCTCTCACACACACACACACACACACAATCATGTCTCAGATGTATACTATTGTCCTTTCCTCAAGACAGATTGGCTTCCTCTCTTGTGCTTGTGTGTGAGTGCGTGTGTGAGTGTGTGTGTGTGTGTGTGTGTGTGTGTGTGTGTGTGTGTCTCCTCTGTCCCACAGTCTTACTCTTGGACTTAAATCTGAAGTTTGTGTTGTCCCTTATGGCTACTTAATAAACTCTCTTTGCTCTTAAGTTCTTCTCTGAATGTATTTCAAGATCTAGCTTTACCTTCGTGGAGGTCCTAGAATGACAATGTTAGGTTGCATCTCAAACTCAAGGTCATCCTCCTGTCTCAGACTCTCTAGTGGAGGGATAAGAGTGTAGTTCTGTGTCTACCTTTTGGACATGATTTGAGGGGGGTCATTGGGGGCCATGCCAACGTAGAGTTCTGTGTCATCGTGTCATCGCTGTACTTGTAGAGCATTCATGGAACTTGTTTGGACTCTCATGTTATCGTGAACTACTAGGGATTTGGAAAATATGTTCTTGCCTGACTGCAAATACTTCATGAACTTTTTAAGTCATAGATTAATTAGTTTTCATGATGTGATCCCCAGGCACATAGCATCTGTATCACCTGGAAACCCGTGAAAAGTCATATTTTTAGCCATACCCCAATCCACAGTACTAGAAATTTTGGAGGAGAAGCCCACAAACCTGTGTTCCAACAATCTTCCAAGTGATTCAGAACACATACTCAAATCCTGGAATTGTTCATCCAAACCATGGTACCCTAAAACAACCCAATGGTAGAGACCGGCCTAACTGTGTGCATGTTTTGTTCTGTTTCAAGTTAGCGAGTCCCCCCTTCACAGGTAGCTATGGGGCTTAAAAACTTGTCACATTGATTTTGGAATAAGCAGCATTCCTTATCATTATACATTTGCTATAGTGACATTTTTGTTACTTGGTTTCTTTGAATAAGCCAAAATAATACAGGTAAAGAATAACTTTGAAGAAAAACACTTATTGTCCTTCAAACCAAGTGACCTGGATTACATATTGTTTTGATGTCTCGTCAAGCATCTCTATGAAGGGGAATTATTTGTATCAAATGTTCACAAGTACCAAAAAAAATAGTTAAGCGGCATATGAGTGCACACAAACATTGAAAGTATACATGTTTATGCCTGTTTTAACAAATTAAGCCTTTTTTAATAGGTCAAACCAATTCCACAGAAAACTTTCTAGGAAAAGCATGGAGGGAGGACAGTAACCAGAAAAATATATCCCCCCCTCAATCCTTAACTGTTTTAGCATAGGAAGTTAAAGGACATAGACAAAGTCTCGACCCTCCCATGAGGACTGTCTTCTCAGAGACTCATGCTAAGCACTAACTGTATAGACAGACAGGTGTCACAGTGAGTACACAGGAGAAATCTGGCATCAATAGTAGATGCTTGCTGGAAGAGTTTTTGGTTGTTACCGATGTTGCTTTTCTATTGTTTTGTGTTTTCTATTGTTCTGTCATGGTGGAGATCAAACCTCGAAAACATTAGGCAAGAACTTGACCAATGAACAACATCTCTGGCCCAAGAGCCTTTCTACTTAATTTAAGCATGGAAATAAGTCACACATGATGTTTCCCTCCTGATTCCTACTCTACTTCATGGACCTGTGATGCTGAAGCATGATTACTAATCAAACTGATTGTATGTGGGAATTAAAGAGAAAAAATTGACAGGGACAAGTAACAGTGCTGCCACTGCCAACACAGTGTCTGACAAAGGCACAGGCAGAGCACTTGTGTAGATAAACCCAGCCAACCACTGTGCTCCTGTGCCAATACTAGTGAGGACTGGATTTTACCGCAATTTCCAAAAGTCAGTGCAGTCCAGAGCTTAATCAGCACTGGCTAATAGCCCTTGGCAGCTCTGGGTGGATGGCATTCTCCACCTGCCCAGCTGGGTCCCATGCCCTAAGCACCCACATTTGATGCACATTCATGATTTCTTGGTTGCTCTAGGCATCACCTCCATCTGTCTGAGTGGCAGAGTGCCCATTCCAGAATAGACTAATAATCTAAAAGTTGTCCTTCACCTTCTGGAGGGTAGCATATCTCTTTGAACATGTGATGTAAGTTGTAGGTCCATTCCTCAGAAAAAATACACACATACACATACATAAATACATGCATACATAAGAATGTGTACACTTATTTTATGTGTATGTGTGTGTGTGTATGTATGTGTATGTGTGTGTATGTGAAGTTCTACACACTGTCCCACCTTCCCACATTTTAAGAGGATCACAAGGAAATTATGAACATCAGGTTTAAAATTTGCCCTAGGATGTTAAAAATAGGTAAATTAAGCTTTTTAATTTCAAATAGCAAGAGGAACTATGAGGAACCACTGTGTTTTTAGAAGACAAAGTGAGAGCAATGCTGAACAGACAGACACAAGCTAGGCGCTATTGTTGCCAAGAAGCTAGTAGTCTCAGTAGGGTGGATCACAGTTGGCCCGTAGAAAAGCAGAAAAGCAGGACTTGCAACTCAAGTTTCCAGAAGAAGAAAGTGTGACTGGGTAAATGCATGAAGATACCGAAAGATAGGGGTCCCGTGTGGGTCAAGTATATATTAGGTGGAAAGGCAGAGAAGAGAGTGGAAGGAAACAAAGTCAAACTATGATGAGCCACAAGGCCAAAGCTACACCTAAAGAAGAGCCATTAGCTTTTAGACAGTGGTGATTACCTGCTCTAAGCTGGATGAGTCTGTTATGGGGACATCATTGTCCAAAAGCAGAAAGGAAGCATGTTTGGAAAGATTTAAGAATTCTAAATCAAAACTGGTATTTGTTTCTTGCTTGCTCTGGATGTTTTGACCAAGTTAATTGAAGATTAACTTGAGATTGTTAACATTTTGATAAATGTCAGTAGGGAAATATGTTCTGGTAGGTATTCATATGAATTTTAAATCCAGGACACTAAACAAGATAAAACCTGTTTGAGATTAAAACACTAAAAATTAAATTGAACTAAAATAAAAAGTAAAGAACTCATAGTGCTGAGAAAACAGACAGACAGACAGACAGCACAGGCTGCAAAGAGTAGAAGTCAACACCATCGCTGCCAAGGTCACACGGCAGTTAAACAATGCCATAATGAGCCCCTCTGATGGTAACTGACTTCTTATCAGTGAAACCTGGTGATTTTCTGATACTCAATTGCACAACCATCTTTACCTAGGTCACCACTTGATATCTAATTAATTACCTCCTCCTAATCCTACCTCCAAATGCCAATCAATCCCAAATCTCTCAGACTCCAC